CATTTCTTTCACTTTTTCTTCATTTTCGTTCCGATGACCACATGCACTTGTACTTTTGAACTCCACTGCTGAAGAATGGCAACCACGTGGGAGCAGTTGGGCTTGGTTAGGGGGAAGGGGCACGTACCCAACAAACGAGCCATCCTGTATAGTTTCTGTTTTTTGTGCAATCAAAGTGGCTCATTTGTACCATTTCGCAGCTTCTGAAGACTTGAAAGGCCCCACCAAAGTGAGACCTGTTAGTTAGTAAAATAATTTATCGAAAGAAATTAGCGAAAGTGCGAAATGATCCTCTTAAGACAGACAGCGCCGTCACTGGTCTCCAAAGTATTGCAGAGAATCAGTACAGGATATGGCTATGGATCGACAAGCAATAAATGGGGAGCAGAAAAGCGAGGAGAATAAAGGCTCACCGAAGGGTTGGGAGGGACTGGGCAAAATGGAAGCACCACAGTCCCACAGTGTGATAACTGTTCCTAGATGGGTCGTTGGAGCCAGTCTGGAATGTAATCACATCTCAAGCCACACCGTAAAAAGTGCTCTTACCCCAGACGTGTCTACTACATCTACAGCTCGCAAGGAAAGTTGCAGAAAAAGAATTGGTAGGCGAAATACAGCGCGAAACCGGACGGACAAGCCCGCTCCACTTTTTTCTTTATATCCGTTCATAGAGGTGCGCTCAGTGAAAGATGAGAGAGAATCAAGAGTAGATAGGTGGGGGATGAAAGCAGAAATCAGAAAGAACTTGTAGAAACTTGCTGGGTTGGCTGGATACGGAATTTCAGCAAATCACTTTCCGTCAACTTCACCCTCAATGAAAGCGTAAAAGTGGACCATTCATTCGACACACTAATGGTAAGGGATGAAGGAACAGGAACATTGTGGCAGCATGGTCTGACGGCATACACTGCCTGCGCATGGTCCGCATCACAGAGGATTCGGCGTTCTGTCATTAAGGGGGGGGGAGGGAGTATTTCCCTAGTTCGCTAGTTTCTTTCATTAATTCCTGTTAACTAACTAACTCCTCTCACCAAGGTGAGAGGTCAGACAGGTTGTAGGCCAGCCCAGTGTAAACGAGGTCGGTGCATGAGTTTACGAGAGTTTACAACTCCAAAGCACCGACAGGGCAATGGTTTCTTGTGTAACAGTAAAACACGCCCCTAACGATTCTGCCACTGGGCCAAGACCGTTGAGGCTGAAACCTGGGGCCGTTGATCTTTAAACTTGCTCTGTCTGCAGCTCACTACGCAGGAGGGTTCTGCAGGGGTACTGATGCTCTGCGTACCTCAGCCAAATTTGAGGGGGCAGTTTTGGTTAGGAACTCTTTCGGAGTAAACATTCCTGCAACTTCGCTAACTTTGACATCGCTAATAAAAGTGAAAAAGACAACAAGAAATGTGTCGTTACAAGGTGATGGATTACTTATCACAGGAAACTCATAAATATGCAATTTGTCTCGCCTACGCTTAACAATGCCGTTTATTAGTGGGAACACCATAGAGAAGTTGGATTGAGTGCAGCAAAACCTTCAATTGAACGCGGGTTCAATGCGAACGTTTTCGCGAGCGGGAAGGACTAACGTGTCATCTGCCCTAATAAAGTTTTCTCTAATTGCCCATTGTAACCCTACCCTTAAAAATAAGGTCTAGGTTTCTAAATTTCGCCTGTGTCCCTGCTAACCTGGCATCCAGCGATTAATTGTAATAGCTCACCTAAGCGTGCATGCAATAAATAAACAAATAAATAAGTAAATATTTGTGCGTAGTCAAATATCTTCGAAGGATTGGATTCCACATTTGTGTGATCCGAGAAGGGATCTTACTTACGGTGACACACTGATCCGGCAGCCTTAAGTTGAACCAGGCGCTGTTTTGCGGGAGGGGGGGGGGGGGGCATTTTGCACTTTAACGACTTCCCATCGACGTGTCAACCCATCTAGACAGCCTGTTCCGAGTTGACCAGGTTTTACCATGATGGCTTGACGAACGTTGCCTCCACTTTCAAAAGAAGTTCACAGGTTTCACAGAGTGAGACTTGTTAAACCAGAAACTTAGTGAAGCAATGAAAGGCAAAATTAATGGCCCCCCCCCCCTCTCGTTGGTAACAGTGCGCTCCCGACTTTTCTACACCGCCCGATGATGCGACGATATAAACTATAGTACTGAAGAAGGCCTGCCATATTTATATAAAACAAGGAACTCAAGATGTGATACCAGAAAGGCTTTCACATTTTGCAAGTGGATTCTTGCAAGAATACAAAGGAATCAATAAAAGGGATTAACTCTAGATGTGGCAAATGTTTCCAGTTAGGTAGACAGGATGTAATCTAAAACTGAAATTTCAACTTTCTTGGAATATTCCAGGTTGATTCATCTTCCAGTATTTTCGATTATATCATTGAATGAACTTTATCAAGCAAAGACTCATGAAGAACAACACATCGCTCCGGCAGGCAGCAATGGTGGGCGTCGGACTATGGTAAGAATCAAATATTATAATGGTAGCCAAAAGATGAATCTTCCAGCGTTGATAAATCTGCTTTTGGGATGCGCCTCGCACTGTAATTCCATCCAGAGCTATGGCTGGTTTTTTCAAGTGGATTTAATGACTGTACGAATGAGTTGCGATGCACCCCTGAAGTCAAGGTCCTGTTGTCTAGACGAGCACAACGTCAGCAGAGCAAGGCTAAAACACTGAGGTTTTGGTTTTCTGGGCGGGGGGGGGGGGGGAGGTGGGGGGGGGGAATCACCCAGAAGTGGACCTCTGATGTTCCACTCTGTCCGCTGCCCTATCACTCTCACTTCCCCATCACCTCTAGATTCCTTTGGGGAAAATGCAGAAAAAAACAGGGTGCCAGATTCCGTTTTTTTAATATGAGTGGTAGCCAACGTGTTTCCTATCAGGCCATATTAACCTATCAGGAAATGCTCAGCGTTGAGGTAGCCAGTGCCTGGCTTATCCTAATACTGTTGATCAACTGGAGCCCTCCAACAGTCCTTTCTGCACTATTTGAATTCTAATGATAAATCACATGACCTTATTTTCCAGTGCCTTCGCTGCGATCACTAGCGCTATCGTGATTCCCATGCTTTACACCTACTTACAGTACATTCATAGTCATGTTCAAGATGAGGTAAGATGTAGCTGATTTTCTTTGGAACCTACTACGTACCTACAGATTTTACTACTTTCTTCATGGTTATATAAGAAATTGAAGCAATAACTATAGTTGGAGTCGTCGCAGTCAGTCGAAGCTGTGTCAGAAGTGAGCCCTCCCCAAGTTGCCTTGCTCTGCTAGTGGTCGACTGCGTTGTTCTGCTAATGGTGGTCAGTAGGTGGCCCTAGAAAGAGAACCAGTGAGAAAAGCGCCGCGGCTGGGCTCATTCCACACCTCTTGACACCGCCCCAGCTGACTGCGACGATATCAAGTGTAAGAGTCGAGAACTTTTTAAGGCTGCATTCTGCAAGAAACGAGTGATTGACCTCCACCAAATGTATGAGAAAGTCGACATTCACATGGGAGGAAGCCTGAGAAAGAAACGAAGCTTCATTGAAAAAGGTGAGAACCATCTTATAGACTTCAAGACTAGACTCTAATACTTTGAAGGTGGAGTGGAGGTGGGCCAGGATAATTTTGTGTTCAGGGAATCAGGGTGCATACAGTAGCCTGGAAACTTCGCGTGAAATTAATTGTGTCGGCCGTGAATGCACACAACGTGCATGTGAAGTACACACTTGAGTCAACGATGACACGTAGATCAACCGCGTTGTACAAAAGGCGTATAACATAAGTTATTAAACGGTCCTTAAGCTTAGGTAACTGAGCTACGGGTTACGGTGTGCCCGATTGCGTGTGATCACGATTGCGACATATTTAACTTTATGCAGTTGCGGGGTACAGTGCGTGCCCTGACTTCTTGACTTATGATCTTGTGAGGCCAAAAACGTCATTACAGCCAAACTGAACAACTACGTTCAAGGACATACCCTCGTCATCCGGGCAGTTGATTAGGGCGGTCGTCAACGGGCCGCAGCGCGTGCCAGGAACTATTTGCTTTTTCCAGGCTAATTTAGTCATTTTTTCCAACTTTTCACTGTTTTGGCTACTTTTTCCCAGATTAGCAGCTCCTTATCTTCACAAGGTGGAAAAAATGACTAAATTAGCCTGGAAAAGCAAATAGTTCCTGGCACGCGCTGCGGCCCGTTGACGACCGCCCTAATCAACTGCCCGGATGACGAGGTTACTTACCATGTCTGAGGCAAATTGGTTCGCATCTGCAGTAGCGTGAAACTTTTTCCGCTCCAAAGTGCACGGAACGGGTAGGGTAGTGGTACCTGCCTGCTGTCTCCATACTACGACCGCGCTCCGTTCAAGGTGCAGAGCTTGCATCGTTGTCAAAATCCCCACCGAACATACAGTCAAAGGTAGAGAACAAGCGGACGTGAGAGGATGAAAAAAGTAGCGCCCTTGGCGATGGCTAGGCACCTTGCAGGCTGTGGGGAGTATCCCTGTGAATATCGCTACCCTCCAGCCCCGTTGTTATACACGGCAAGGACCAGGATCCATTGACCAGGGTGCACAGTGTGTCTTTCAGTTCCCTCGTTCACGAATTGAACCCTATCAATACTCAGGTGCAGTCGTTATCACTGAAGTCAGCCGGAACGTGTCTGAACTCCTGAGAATGGGAAGGGTGGTGGCGCCGCTCCAATACACAAGCCCCGCTGACGCGCCCCGACTGACTTCACTGATAAAGACTGTAGTTCGAGTGCACAAGCATCGGGGTAGAGTGGTGACCCTATTTTCCGGGCTATAAGGCGTATTTAGTAGTGTGCTCACAGAGGCGCACACAACAATGTTCGAGGTTCCCTTTACCCGTGGGCGCCTCATATCCCGAAAAAAACAGGGTAACTACAAATTTCGAATGCGTGGAGCCCCTCATCGCAGTGGATTAACTCTAATCACTTTATCCATTTTCAAACAGCTGTGCAAAAACGTTACTTCAGACCAAGCCTATGTATATTGCCCGTGTAACAGTGGCCGCGCAGGCCAGCCTGGACTGCCGGGAGAACCTGGAAAAGATGGCAAGGATGGTGAGCCGGGCGAGCCAGGAAAGGTTAGCGATGAACTTCTGTAACGTTACCACCGTTCATTTTCAAGAGCCCTGTTTTTCAGGATGGCTTTAATCCACCGGAAAATGGTTACTTCGAGTTTTGCATGGAATGCCCACCGGGGCCTCCAGGACTTCCAGGAGATGAGGGACCAAGAGGACCACGCGGACCACCAGGTGTTGATGGGCTGCCCGGTACACATGGACGTCCAGGTCAACCAGGAGTTCCTGGAAAAGAAGGCAGAGCGGGAAACGATGGACAACCAGGAATGCCTGGAGAACCAGGAAGACATGGACAGCTTTTCGTAAGTACCTGACTTTTGACTTCTAGAAAGGTCACTTCGGAAAAGGTAGTACAATCAGTCGTCTAACCATAGTGCTTTCAGGATGCTCCTGCATCTATTGGCGCTCCTGGACCACGTGGTGAGCCAGGACCCATGGGAATTCCAGGTCCTCCTGGAACTCGAGGTCAATCTGGTGAGTCATCCGTGCTGTCGTAGAAGTGCGTCGCTGGACTCATAAAAGCTTATGAATGATTGTTTACAAAAGCTTTTTTCCAACCATCATGAGTCAGACCCAGTCCTGTAGCCTCATTTTTACCGTGTTATCTTCTTCGGCACTGGGAATTCGTCATGGACCAAATTCCCAGTGCCAGTGCCCAAAGCCTCGGAGCACGTCCGACCTTCGGGGGCACAATCATTGCATTGCGGATTTTAGTCGAGTATGTACGCCCCCCTTTTTTTCGAGTGGGGGGGGGTGGTACGACCTTCCCCCCCCCCCTTTACAACGTCCGTGAAGCGAGAAAAATCAACTATCAAAATAAATTTTTCCCAGCCCAAATACGACCCCCTCTCCTGGCGGCCAAATACGACCCCCTATTGGGGATTCCCCAACAACGATGTGCCCTGCCAACCCTCCCCAAACGGTTATGGTGGACCGTGCTTTAAAATCCATCTTTGCGGGATTTTTTGAGTTGCTTAGCTGCTCAAGGTGCGAGAATGAAGCACCACAAAGAATTTATCAAGAATCATGACAAATTTGATGATGCTGTTCTGTTTTTTGCAAACCTATATTTTTTCCGACAGATCACTTCAAATGAAGACAAATTTCAGGCATTCGTGGTCCTCCCGGTCCGATGGGCGATAAGGGTCTTCACGGAGTCCCAGGCATCGACGGATCGCGAGGCTTGCCTGGTCATAGAGGAGCACCTGGTCGAAGGGGGAGCTGCCACCACTGCATTGTAAGGAAAACAACTGACGCACCAACTACAGAAGTTTCATGCGAATTGAATAAAGTAACAATAGTAATGCTTTGAAATCGGTCCTGCTGTTGAGTTCATGTGGCCTTAATCTTGACAGCTAATAGGCATGGCGGCCAGTTCCAGTTTTTTATTTGTTTGTATAATAAGTCTTTGTGGAGTTGAGTTCCACTTTCAGGGGCAAGAAAGGACCACTTATCGGAAAGGTGCAGGAACTTTGCCAGCCTTCACCAGAAACCTTGGTAAAACTGACACAGATCAGTACGAGACATCAGCAGCGTTCACTCTATAAGGGAGAGTTACGGGCAGGGTAAGCATCAGGACTGGTGGGCAGTGTCATTGCGGTCCCCCTGCTAAAGAGGTCCCGATACGACCTTTTCCGCCTTCCAGCTCTAGTTGGGGTGTATATGGAGTTCACTTCTATGCTACGCTGTTCGTATGTGGTGAGTGCGCAAATGAGACAATTTGCCAGCTTGAGTTTCCGAATGTAGAATGTATACAGTTGATATCAGCTCAATCACTCGCCCCCCCCCTCCTCCTGCGGCTTTTCCTTGGGTTGTTTTCTTCCTAAATCGGTTGCTTTCCGATCACCTTTGGTAGAGCAAAGCACGCGCAGGCAGGCGCAGGCTCATCCCGCCCTCCTCACGCCGCCCCCGACTATTGCGATGTTACAATCTATATACTGGAGCAAACGGGAGTGTACAGGGGGCCAAAAAAGACACTTCGACCGAGTCACATATCAGCAAAGTTTTCGCAGCCCAGAGAGAAGACGTGGATACGAGTACCAGGGCGGAAGATACCCAAGATGTTCCTCGATAAGCAGGAGCTGGCCCTCGCCCATCACCTTCATGTACACCAAAATATGAAGTCATCTCCAATCGCAGCCGAACTGAAGAAGCCTGTGGAATTTACGTCACCGCGAAACTTCTTGTATGGAGTCACCCATGGACAGCTACCTGGAGACCGGCACTCTTGATCTGGAAGACCTCCAACATCGAGCAGCTCCGACAACGTCGCTACGGTCCAGGATATCATCTTCACCGCAGTCGCCGGTTGATGGTATGGACCGGAAGTTCCTGGAATGGGAAGACCGATATTTTCTTCGTGGACCCCGACTGAAAGTGAACGCTGACGGTTACATCGACCAACTCGAGGAGAATATCCTGCCTTCATGTCGTCGCCTGTACCATCTTGGAAACTTCGTACTGCTACAGGATTGGGTGCCTCCACACGGAATCGGGAAAACTTTCGCCCCTTGGAATCGAAGGAGGTTGAGAACTGAAGGAGACAGAATGTCCGAGTGTGTCACCTGCCCTCAGTCCCCCTCGATTACCGGATCCGGGAAGGAGGTGGTGGCGGAGAAACAACATGGTGGCGCTGAACTGAGGCGCCGAATCGCGGTCGCGTGGCAGAATCTCTCGATGACGTTCGTCCAGAAGGCTGTGGCGGAGCTTCCTGATAATGTAAAATGTGCTGTTGAATTTGATGGTGAAAATGTCTAATCAGATTTCCATAAAGTGCAACATATATTGCCGAGAGTCGAGTAAGAAAAGTGTCCTTTTTGCCTCCCTGTATTGGGAGTGACTGTAAAAGTCAAGGAAGGACCCCCGCTTGGAAAGCATGCAAGGGATATCACCACACCAGCAATCTTGACGTGGACCTTGTGATCTTGGCGCGAATAGATGATATAATTGAAGAAATGCGCTAGAACATTCCTGAACTCCTTGTGTACCGTTGAAACTTCTTCAGCCAAGCCTGAATCAGAGGGGCTGAAGACATTAGAATTGAATGCAGTATTAACGACCCGATTTCTTGCCTCACATGTAAATAAGCAGGCACTAAAAACTCGACGTCCCTTTCGGTGTTGTTCGAATTACAATTAGCGTACTTCAATTAAGGAACAGCTGATCAAAAAAGCTATAAGAAGAAACAAAAAATGGGGTATAATCAAGCTGTTTCAATACCTGGTGATATTTCCACCATCGCACTGCTCTTATTAATATCTGCTGAGGCCTTTTTCTGCCCCAGCGGAGTTACTGATAGACCCTTCAAATAACATGGGGATTGGACGCTCTGCAGAATTAGGGTACATGGGGGATTTTGGTAATTCGTACGACTCACCCCTCCCTCCCCAAAAGGGGACACGATACAACCCCTCCCCCTTTTTTTACAGTTTGTTGCAGATGCCACAGGCCTGGGTAGCTTTCACTTTCCGCGCTCGGATTTGAATGTGAGAGCCTGGGTTCTTCAAAGACAAACGTCGCGATGAGCTAACGAACACTTGGTAGCGAACGAGTTGGGTTGGAAACTAAAAGCAGTGTACGTGTTACTTGACCTGCCCGTGAAGAGAAAAGGAGAGAAAACCGTCAAAAACGCTCCAAATAAGGCCCTGTTTGTGCCAACCATGCTAAAGAATCGGTGTGGTATCGGACGATAGGAATGAGAAAGCAGCGACAGAGCATGCAGACGAGCAAGACCCCAGACAAGACGTCTGTCGAATTGGGCGAGCGGTGATCAGCCTGGGCCTTATCGCCGCTACCTTACCGCTTTTTGATGTGAAACTCATACAGAGTTGCTCGCTGCATAGGATGGGTTAAAGGATAAGGATAAAGAGGGGAGGGGAGAGAATAAGGTCTACACCCAGTATCAAAAGATTTTTACTTAAGACAAAGCCCGCGCTCATTTGCCATCTTAGATAGTGAATTTGGGCTTCGCATAAAAAGGACAAGGTTTAGAGTAAAACAATAGTGAAGGAAAAAGCAGAAAAAACATGCCCAATGTCCTAAATAGGACCCCATTACAATCCTAGTTTGTACGTGCATACGATGGGGAAACAGCGCTTATGGACGAGCGTTCCACGTTATTGGCTCGCTGCCAGAAATAGGTGTGGCGCCACGTTTGAAAGACTGACCTTTAATATTCTTATTTTTTCAGTGAATTCATCGTATCATTATGTTTCTTTGTTCTTTTTGAGTTTGTGTTTTGCTTTTCAAATTCAAAATGTTGCTATTTTCTTCCAACATTTCGTGCACTTTTGCAATACAATACTTTTTGCAATACATTTCCAGTTTTACCACTCCGCGCGCTCAGCTGACTCAATACAACCCTACGTCCGTACAAATAACGAAGGCGCTTAGATTTTCATGCTTTTCTCGTCCCACAACTTGGTTTTTCACTGAAGGGCGGCGCTTGGGAGGCGGAGTCACTGGAAAAAAGGAGGAACCACTGGACCTATTTTGCCTTATAGCGCCCCTCCCCTGCACTTTTTTGCCGCGAAAACGGTACAGGGTTGTTCGTCGCGGACCGCACTATCCTCCCGATGCCATATTTTCATCTTCGATACTTGATCGCGGACCGTTCCTTTAAATTTACACCCAGTATTAAAAGATTTTTACTTAAAACATACGGTTAGCGTTCGATAAGTGTATGCATGACCACCCGACGAAGAGATTCTCACTTCAAGCATACGGTTAGCGTAAGTGTATGCATGACCACCCGACGAAGAGATTGAGCCAGGTGGAGATGACTGGCTCTATCCCGCTGGACAAGTACTTGGTCGAGTCACATGGTGTCGCTTGGTAGATATAATTGTGGTCGTTGTCGCTGTCGTCAGTGAAGCATGCGGATCTAAACGGCGACAGTGACAACATGGTGTCTTTACTCGGGCGCACAGTACTTGGTCGGGTCGCAAGGTTTTGCTTGGCACATGTAGTAGTGATCGTTCTCGCAGTCGTCGGTGAACCATGCAGATCTTAGGAGCCTTTGCCAATGGCCGATCTTGCTCAGTGGTGTTCAGCTTTGACGTTGCGCTGGTCAATCGGACGTGAACTGGATGACACTCACCACAAATTTGCTTGCCCACATACTCTGCGATATAGTCGGGATTGAATCTGCCACTATACACACTTGCGAACTGAAGTGTTTGTTGTAAAGGAGCAGTCTGAGAATGTCATTTCAAGGGCTTACCTTTGGCCAGTTGCGAAATGAAGACTTCCCAAAGTTGATGACTACAGCGTTGAAATTCAGTAGCTTCCTGTTCGCGGATATAGCTTTGAAGAAGTTTTCCCGCAGCGTCCACCTCTTCCTGGCTGCAATTCACATTGTGAGACAACTGTCATCTTCTATTGGTTGGTTGAAGACATGATCACAACTGTCGCAAAACCAAAATACCTTACGTAACTCTTGGCTGCCACCACGGTCAATCGTACGCAGCCACGCCCACCGCATATCAGTGATTTTGGGCGTAATTGCGAACCTATGTCAACCTATTGGTGCTGCTGCTTGATCGTTTTGTTTTTTGTAATGTTTTTTCACATTTTCGGTTTCTCTATAAAGAAAGTTTCGATGCTCATATCCATCGATACTGACTCTTTGCGCTGTTTGTTGCTGACTGACGCCCCACCCTCATCCTGTGGTGAAATACGATCCTCTCCTCAAGTTGGGAATCCCCAACGATGGTCTTCCCTGCAACGGAATGGGAGCATTCTTCATATCGAACTACCTTCAAAACATCAGCCAATGTCAGTATTGCTGTTACCTATATACCCATATTCCTCTGATTCAATCAACTGAGACCCGGGAGGCCGGGGGACCCGGTTGATGTGTCACATCCTACATGAATCAAGCCGATATGGGGTATCCTATGTGAGAATAATAAGTGAACGCCCAATTATAAGCTGCATCGCGTAACCCACGATCCGGTAAAATCCAGATTTGATCTAAATTTCTGCAGTCCTGTATTTTTTCATTATTCTCGTTCTCTTCAGATATGGCTGTTAGCGTGATTACTTCGTTTGTTTATTTTTTACCTCTGCGAGTTTTGTCTAAATAAAGTACAGTCATGATCCCTGGAAAGGTGAGGGCTTGGCTTGGAATACAGCCACGACCCTTTCAACCAGTCCATGCTAGAGTTCAGTCGGCAACTCAGGACAGCGTGATTGGGGGGATGGGCTTTTAGAGTGTGTTCGATCTCGCCCTCCTCCGCTCCCCCCCCCGCACCCATCCCATCATACCCACTTCCTCTTACAGACTGTGAATGAGCTCTTGTCCTTGTGCCAGGGGAGAATGATTTTGAGTTTTCTTCCAAGGTAGGAGATTGTCATGCTCACCATGGTTTCTGCGTACTTCCAGTGTACTCCACCTTCCGTTGTGTACGTAGATTTGTTCCACATCATGGTTTCGTGAACATAATTAGCCGATAACGACTTTGCCTTGACCAGACAAAGTGAAAAGGCTCACTCGATTACACGAGGAAGAAACTGGGTGAATCATCTGCCTCACGTCATTGAGTGC